TATTGTACTGTGTGTTCACCACCCCAGGTCAAGTCTCCTTCCATCACGTTGACCCCCCTTCACCCTCTCCTGCCTCCCCCTGTCCTCTTCCCCTCTGGTAATCACCATACTGTTATCTGTGTATACTGATTTTTCTTTTTGTTTTTTTCCACTTAATCCCTTCAAATTTTTCACCCAGACCCCTCCCCCCTCCCCTCTGGAAGCTGTCAGTCTGTTCTCTGTATCTACAAGTTTGTCTGAGCTGCCTTATGATCCAGCAAGCCCACTTCTGGGAATATATCCAAAGAATCTGGAAACACTAATTTGAAAGAATATATGCACCCCTATGTTCATAGCAGTGTTATTTACAGTAGCTAACATTTGGAAGCAGCCCAAGTTCCCATCAGTAGATGAGTAAATAAAAAAACTGTGGCACATTTACACCATGGAATACTATGCAACTGTAAAAAAGAAGGAAATCTTACTTTTTGGGACAATATGGATGGACCTGGAGAGTATTGTGTTAAGTGAAATAAGCCAGTCAGAGAAAGACAAGTACCACATGATTTCCCTTATACATGGAATTTAATGAACAAAACAAACAAACAAACAAGCAAAATCTCTCTCTTTTTAAAAGAAATTCTATTTAGTATGGTTTTAAATATACTTGGCCACTTAAGAGTTTCTTGTTCTTTAAATACATTTCCAAATTTGTCTTATATGCATTTAAATATAGTAAATATAGTCAATTTACCTATAATTGTCTGATTATTGCAGTAATAGTACTTTTGTGAGTATCTACTGCTATCATTTTGGTTCCTGGGGGTTCTTTCTAAGATTTCTTGTTTACCTGCATTTTTTAGTGTGTGTGCTTCTGGCTTAGTTTTTGTGTGTTTGCTTCTGGCTCAGAGCTTCTTCCTCACTCATTTATTTATGAAAACTTATTAAACCTGGGATGAAATGAGTTGTTCTAGAGAATATTTACATTTTCTTCTGCTAGCTGATGAAGAAACATGACTAAAATTTGGACACTTTTAAAATAAAATCTTGGGGCGTGATGTCATTAAGATGGAAACATAGGTCATTTCTGACTTTAGTTTCCCTCAAAAAAGACCAACTAGCAACTATCCATAGACAAGACACCATAGTGAAAAGCCTAGAACATGCAAGTAAAGATGAAGCACCCCTTTGGCCTATAGAGACCAAGAAGAATCACATGAGAAGGGGAAGAGGAATGGCTACACCCTGGCCACAGTGAATGTGAAACATTACATCAATAGGATGAAAGAAAAAATTATACGATCATCTCAATAGAAGCAGAAGAGACAATGAATAAAATTCAACACTGGTTCATGATTAAAGCTCTTTACAAATTAGGTATAGAAGGAACATACTTTTAATAAAATCTGTAAATGACAAGCCCACAGCTAGTATCATACTTAAGTAGTGAAAGTTTGAAAGCTTTTCCTCTAAGATAAGGAACCAAAGGTGCTCACTATATATACAATGTAATATTATTCAGCCTTAAAGAAGGAAATCCTGTCAGGATGACATGGATGAAATGTGAGGGCATTATGCTAAGTGAAATAAGTCAGGCAGAGAAAGACAACTATGGCATGAACTCAGGTATATGGGGAATCGTTAAAAAAAACCACCAACACAAAAACTTATAAAAACAAATCAGATTTGTTGTCAGAAGTGGGGCATGGTAAGTGAGGGAAGTGGATGAAAGCGGCCAAAAGGTACAAACATTCAGTTATAAGTTCTGGGGATGTAATGTACAACATAATGAATATAGTTAATAATACTGCATTGTATATGAGAGATGCTAAGAGAGTAGATCTTAAGAGTCCTCATCACAAGGAAAATAATTTGTAACTGGATGAGGTAATAGATGTTAACTTATTTGTGCTGATCATTTTGCAATATATATATATAGTAAGTCTTACTGTATACTTAAATTTATACAATGTTACATGTCAATTATATCTCAATAAACTGGAAAAACAACAAAAAATACAAAAGAATTAAAATCTTGACCTGGTGATCTTTGTTTTTCCCCCACTGAATTTTTTCTTTTACAGAGAGTGGAAGGGAGGAAGGGAGAAAGAGACAGAGGGAGAGAGGCATCCATCTGTTGTCTCCTGCATGCCGACTGGTGCTGGGGATCGAACCTGCAAGCCAGGTATGTGCCCTTGACCAGAATTGCACCCCTCGACCGTTTGGTGCATGGGTTGATGCTTTAACCACTGAGCACATGGGCCAGAGAGGCCTGGTGATCTTTTTTAACCAGAGAGGTGGTATTAGTGCAGCTTGAAAAATTCACATGAAGCCTGACTTCGGGGGAGATATTCCAGGAAGAACATTTTTCTTTCAGTAATCAGAGGGAAGCTGATATAGTTTAAATTCACCCTTCTCCTAAGACATTGTTTTGGGTTGCTAGATTTAGAAAAGAAATGTCTATTTGAAAAAATGAAGGTACTTTATCTGTGTTGACTGAATGGTCTCATGTTAAAATTAATTGAACATAAGTGAAAGTTTATAGAGGCAGAAGAGTGCTTCTCAATCTTAATTATTCTTAAGAATTTCCTGGGTGCCTGCCCAAAATTCAGATTCCCATGTTCCACCACAGAAACAATGAATAAGTCTGAGGTGAGGTAAGGGAATCTGTAGCATAAGCAAGTGCAGTAGGTGACAACCGAGACAGGTGTTTTACTGATTACTCCCTAAGAAAGTCAGGGATAGAGAGAAGGGAATTGTCCAAAGCTTAATGTAGAATTGTTAACTTTCATCCTTACTCTCTTGGTCACTTCTGTGACACACAGGTCTCTGATTTTACATAGTTCACACTAATTAAGGTGTTTTTGTACTCAAGAGCATACACCTCTAACCACCACCTTAGCTCTGCCAGTGGTACATCAAATCTAGGCCACCAGACATCCTGCCAAGCACTCCTTAGCCACATCCCAAGTCCTTTAGCATTGAAAGAAATGTAGTTTGACTTATCAAAATATGCCTTACAAAAATATTCAATATTATGGCTTTAAATTTTTAACTCTAATTTTTGTTGTTCACTCTTCCATTTTTACTTTCTATTAAATAATGCCAGTTGGAAGCATTTTCTGCCAAGTTTACAATACTAATTTAAGCAAATTTCTTTCTATCCATACTAAAACCAAATCAAAATAAAAAGTAGAAAAAAATAAAACACAAAACTCACATATCTCTGCATAAACACAGCAAATGCCTACTCATTGTGGATGCCTACAGGTATAAAAATCAGAATATTCAAATATTCAGAGTCCATTTAATATCAGTGGCTTTAGTTTGAAAGACACATTTATAAATATCCTCCACTCTCCAAAATTTTTTCTTCATGAAATTCTCTAACACAGAAGCCAAATGAAATATTCCCTTTGTTTATAAATTATCACCAATTAAATGACATGTAATAAGACTCTGGTACAGTCACCCATGTCATCTTTTGTTGTTAATCCTCACCAAGGATATTTTTTCCATTGATTTTTTTTTTTTTTTTAGAGAGTGGGAGGGAGGGGGAGGGGGAGAGAGAGAGAGATGTATTGATGCGAGAGAGACACATCAATTGGTTGCCTCCCACACCAGCCCCGACCAGGGCCAGGGATTGAATGTGTAACCTAGGTAAGTGCCGGTGACCAGGAATCGAACCTGAGACCCTTTGGTGGTAAGCTGATGCCCTAACCACTTAGCAACACTGGCCAGGGCCACCCATATCATCTTTATTATACACAATCTCATAGAGAGAAGGTACATTCTTGATTGAGCTGATGGAGTTTGACAGTCTTCATAGTGGAAAAACAAAGTTTACATAATCTCATAGGTGGAGGCCTATGGGTCAATTCAGTGCATTACTGTTGTTGCTTCTACATTGGAATGTATAGTAGGAACTGAGGTATTACATGCTTGTAATTCTTCATCCCATCTGTGCCAGAAGGATTCCCTGGATTGGGAGAGACCCTTGTAAGGCACTGCTAGAGGAACAAACTCCCTGGCATCTGCCACTAGTGTGAGTGGCAGGTGCCAGGATTTATAGGGAATGTTTCTCCCTATGAAAGTACAAAGCATTCACTATATAGATAATGCTCAGTTAGTTGGAGAGTCAGAAGCCTTGGTCTCATCAGGTCTGGTTAACAAGGAATGGTCTTATACATCAGCCAGCAAGGTGGGCTGAGGGGCTCAGGGGTGGGGATTAACTCCTACAGAATTCAGGAGTTTTCTCTCCAAGTGAAGTTTCCTGGGACAACATGGGCTGATTCACAATACTTAATTTCTCCAGAAGTCAAAGACACACTGTTGTCTCCCCACCTTCACTCCCATCTCCAACAAGGATGCCTAGAATCTTACTGGGTGTTGGAGAAAATACTGGGTGTACTGTTTGATGGTTAACATTCAAATCAGAGTACTTTGAGTGGGTGTTGGTAAGAGTTTGGCAAGCTGTATCATGCTTTCGACCTTTGTGGCTTCATGATCTTAATATCCCTTGGGAATACAACTTTCTACTATGATAATTTTACTGAAGGAGTCTTTTAACAAAGGAAGGAAACCTCCACCTGAAGGTCCCCCTTAAGAATACCTTCCTTAATATGGCAACCTTTCACATCTCTTTTGAAAAATAGCTACTAATTGGCTCCAAGTCAAGTTTTCTTTTAAAAACAGAGCACAAACAATGGGACTTTGTGACTCCTTGGCTTGACATTTCCATTTAGGGGTGACACAACTTAGAATCAACAACAGTGTGAGAAGGACAGAACAATCTTGGTTAAGTAGGATTGTTATATTCAAGAACAGAGCTGGCCTGGTTCCAGCAGTGCCTTGTCTTTTCCTGAAAAAGTGGCACCTGTCCCATTTTTTGCAGAAATTTCATCCCCAGCTCCATCACCTGAAGAAAAATGATGAGCTCAGTGGGTCTCTTGAGTCACAGAGGTCCCCCAAATACTTAAGTCTGGTTTACTAGTAACTTGACTATTTGAAATCTGGTACAGATGTGCCTGTTACCAGCTGTGCAGAACCGAAAACCCACATGGTCACTACATCAGTTGGCAGAACTCAAAGCTATTCTCATAGCTGCAGTCAATATTCCTCTGGGTAAATCTCATTATGTTTTATCTTTATTGACTTATAGATGGATTGTTGCCAGTGGTCTACCTGTGGTGCCTAGACTGAGAAACCTACCCTGACAGATGTAAAATACTCCTCCTCTGGGCCCAAAACTAGAAAGAATTTACAGCTACTGATCTGTGTCTCTCCTGTAGATGTCCACATTCTCTGATGAGAATGGTCAGAACCAAGTTGTTGATTGAGTCTGTACTGTCTGCTTGCTGCCCCTGCTGCCTGGATCTATCATCACACCGGACCTGACAATAGGGTGGCATCACAGGCTGGCACAAAATATAGGACTCCTTCTGATTTGGAGGCTACCTCTGCACACCGGACTTGAGGCGCGTGTCTAAGCTGATCCTGCTGTTTCCTAGCGGAGGAGACCACAATGCACAGGACTTGCCCCACCCAGTCCTGGCAGATTAACTACATTGGACATTTGACCTCCTCTTGGAGTTATCAATGGTGCCTCATTGCTGTCCACACTTTCCTGGGCAATACCGTTACTGTTTCATCCTGATTAACCAATCCTGGACACAACATTTTGGCCCATAAAAATGATCTGTGTCAGCTTTTCAGCTTTCCAGGCCATTTGCAGTTTGACAATGGTGCGCATTTTATTGTAAAGTCACTCAAAACAGCTAATATTTAAGGTAGTTGATGGATCTCCATGCTCCCTACCGTACAGGTACTGGTATTGTTGAGCTGTGGTACAGTCTCCTCAAAAATACATAAAAGAAAAGTCTGACACCACCTTGCTCATTTCCTCTTTTATTTATTTATTTTTAATTTTTATTGAATATATTGGGATGAAGCTGGTTAATAAAATTAACCAATAGGTTTCAAGTACAATTCTATAATACATCATCTGTATATTGTACTGTGTTCACCACCCAAAGTCAAGTCTCCTTCCATCACCATTTAACCCCCTGTACCCTTTTCTACCTCCCTCTGCCCCCTTTTCTTCTGGTCATCACCACACTGTTGTTGAATTTATGAGTGGTTTTTTGTTTTTTTTTTGAGTAATCCCTTCAC